CACACACACACACACACACACACACACACACACACACACACACACACGTATGCTCCATCTTGTTGTATTAAGTTTGCCTCTTCACACTGGTGAGCTAAGAATGTCTTAGCCAGCAAGCATCTTCTAGCAGTTTCCTGAGTAGCCCCAAATGGCCGGTTAACAGAAGGGTGCTGCCAGTGAGAGACTAATGTTTTCCAGGAGACCAGAGGTGGAAAAGAGAAATTATGATGTTAGGATTTTACTGAAGAGGAAATCCCGTTTGGCTTACAAGATGTTCTCTCTGCATCAAACAGGTTGCTAAGTGCATTCCAATGTACATGACAGAAACTTTGTTAAAGAGAAAATACAGCCAGAAAAAAGTAAAGCAGAGGAGGGAGAGGCCACCTATGGTAGCAGTTTAAATCCTTCAGCTGTGGTGGTTTTAGTTAGAATCTCACTTTTTGACAAATATTTGGTGGCCAGGAGCAGAAAGCAGTGGTCTGTTCTTTTGCTACTCTAAGTGTGGTTTATGGACCAGCAGCATCTCTGTCACCTCAAAAAGCATGTCAGGAATGCAAAATCTCAGCCCTATGCCTGTCCTGCCAATCTGAACCCAGATTTCATCAAGTTCCTCAGATGATTCATGTGCACACTGGGTGTAATGTAGTACACATTTGTGTCCTCTCCAAATTCATAATATTGAAACCCTAACCCCAGTGGGATGATATTTGGAGATGAGGCCTTTAGGAGGTGATTTGGTCATGAGGGTAGAGCCCACAGGATGGGATGAGTTCCCTTGTAAGTAGAGACATGAGAAAGCTGGCTTCCTGTATCTATGTTTCTGTGCTCCACCATGTGACGATACAAGAAGAGGACAGCAGTCTGCAAACCAGGAAGGGAGCCCTCACCAGACACTGATCTGCCAGCACCTGACCTTGGACTGACTTCCCAGCCTCCAAAACTGTGAGAAATAAATTTCTGTCGTTTAAGCCACCTAATCTATGCTGTTCTATTACGGAAGCCCAAATGAAGACATTGGTCTAGTTTATTACTCCTTGTCATAAATTTGTAACCCTTAATGCAGAAAAGTCACATGAAATCATTCAGTTCAAGCTCTGGTTTTAAGATTGGTGAGTTATCACCATCCATTCTACACATAAGACACCTAAGGCTTCGGGCTTAAACCAGTTGCCTAAAGTCATGAAACAAGGTGTCTTCTGCCACCAAACACAGCATATCCCATTGTTGTAGCAAATTGTTTAGAGTCTCTGTGAAGTCTTTCTGCATTTCTCCTCGAGACAATGCATTTCCTGGCCTGAATTGATTTTTCTGAATCTGGTGGAGAAAAGACAAATGTTGCCCAGTCGTTTTGGCGTTTACTCTAAACCAGGAAGGAAGTTTCAGAGAAGTATTACAGTTTTTCCTGAGGGAAAATCATCTTGACATATAGGATAAAAGTGCAGACTCTAGACCTTGAGGGAGACCTAGACCTATTCCAAAAGGATCATGCAGCTTATTTCTGTCATGTACGCGCGTGCGCGCGTGTGTGTGTGTGTGTGTGTGTGTGTGTGTATGTGTGTATAGCAGGGAGTAGAAAGCTTTTAGTACACTCAGTCAAATATAGAGATGTCACTTAGAGAGACACAGCAGAACCTGCTGGTCTATATATAAGAAATGGCACTGTACTGTACTGTACTTAATTTAGCCCTCCAGGAAGGGTCATGAATATGCATTTTGTCTAAGAAAATTATTTCTTTTCACAACCTCATGTGTGATGCCGTAGGCTAAGTTAATCAATGTTAGTTAAATTTAGCCTAGTTTTGAAGGTTTATTTTAAAAAAGGTCAAAGTACTAACCTATAGCTTATTGTGTGAGGAAAGAAAGCATCGAAGAGATGGCAAACCAAGCAGCTGATGTCACCCCCACCAGGAATATAAACATATTGTTTGTAGTTGAGGCTCGGTTCCACTTGCAGTTAGTGATATTATTCTCAAGGTTGACTTGATCCCTGCTGTGCCGTGAAAGATGCTGTCTACATGGGGATGTTGGAGGTCCACGAGCTAGCCTTTCCCTGGGGTGAAGGCTGGGCTTGGGCATTTATTCAAACCGTGCATTTAGATAAGGCGTAAAAGAAGGCAGAAAAGGGCATCCTGCAGATGAGAAGGTTTGATTGGACATGTCATGTGATATGGCAAACGATGACATGAAGAGGCCTAGGGCTGGGGTGTGATGGAGCCACTACCTCTCCCCTGCTACGTCCACGACTGTGGGAGCTGGAGCACTTGTAAGGGTCTGAGATTCCACCTTCTCTTTACAGAGGTGGGGATTGGTGATGGTAGACCATGCGCTGGCCAGGAGAGGAGCTGAGGATCAGAGAGGAAAAGTGACTTACATCCTACAGCCTCAAAGAAACCTGGCCAAACTGAAAGCTGAGGCGATGGCCCCCTATTTAGAGAGAGGACAGTCTAGAACTGTGCTGTCCAGTAGGATTTTCTGCAGTGTTGGAAGTATTCTACAGTTTTATCATGGGCGGCTATTGAACCCTTGAAAAGTAGCTAATGGAACTAAATTTGTCATTTTATTTAATTTAAATAATTTTAATTCAAATAGTCACATGTGGCTAGTGTCTACCATGTTAGACAGGTCAATTCAAAAAGAAGTGGCACTTTAAAGAGATGAAGTGGAAAAGCAAGAGTGAATTCAGGGAAAAATGCAGAGTTCAGGGTGTGAAAGCTAGGATTCTGAAAGTACATATGAGAGCTATCTGGAAAACATCAAAAAAATAAAGCTTCCTAGACCCAGACCAGGACTGCCCAATCAGAGTCTCTTTTGGTACATACCTTTAAATGAGAGCTACCATCATTCATTGGTAAGAAAAGGCAGATCTGGGAATGTGGGTTGCAAATGATAAAAGGTCTTGCCTGCCAAACTGAAGATTTTGCGCTCAGTTTTATTGGCAGTGGCAGCATCATTGAAAGGGGAGAGTCACATGCTCAGTGCGTTGGGCAAGGCTTGCAGCAGCCTGTGTAAGATGGGATGCCAGTGGAAGATTGGAGATGATTGCAAAGCTGAGTGTTAAAAGATACCTAGAGCGTTCATTTCTCCCTCAGAATATGAGTGTGTTTATTTCACTAGGGGCTGCCCATATTCTTCCCTGGCTTGAACATTGGTTCAAAACATTTCTTAGCAAATATGCTGCTGCACGCCTCCAGTCCCGCTAAATGTTATGGTGATTGAAAATTACAGCTGCTTCCCTTGGGCGCAGAGGGAGCTCTTTGTAATGAAATAGAGATGCAGCAGCCATTTGGCATGTGGAGTAACAGCTTCTCTGGGACCCCCAGCAGGGGCCCATGGTATCATAAAAGGGAATGACTCACGAGGGAAAGGAACAATTGCTGGTCTTGGAGTGTGCCCTTCCCTCTCTATGATTTCTGAGCTCCAACGAGCAATCTTAACTGCTGCCACCAGGAACTAGGACACCGTGAAAACAGTGTTGGAGGGCCAGCTGATGACTTACTGCATAACCCTGATAAACTGTTTCATGGTTCACAGTGGGGAGAGAGATTGCTTTTAAAAATTGAAAAGGAAAAAATAAAATCCAGTATGTGTTGAATGGAAGTTTTGAGATGGACAAAATGCCTTTTCTCAAACAGCAAAGTTTCGAAAGAGTTAATTTTTTTTTCAATAGTGCTGGGGAAGGCATGGGGGAGTGAGAGGCTGGGTATCTTTATTAGCTCTTGGGAGAACGGAAAGCTGGGGTTTCAGGAGTGGTTTTATTCTCGTTGGAAGAGTTCAGCTATCGTGCTGAAGGACAGGTGACCTCTGCCTGAGGAGTGTTTTTCTCTAGCTCTGCTGTTGGCCCTTTATGTGTACAGTCACACATCACTTAAAAACCAGGATATGGGGCCGGGCGCAGTGGCTCAAGCCTGTAATCCCAGCACTTTGGGAGGCCGAGGCGGGTGGATCACGAGGTCAAGAGATCGAGACCATCCTGGTCAACACGGTGAAACCCCGTCTCTACTAAAAGATCGCGCCATTGCACTCCAGCCTGGGTAACAAGAGCAAAACTCCGTCCCAAAAAAAACCCCAAAAAAACAAAAAACCGGGATATGTTCTAAGAAATGTGTCCTTAGGCAATTTTGTCATTGAGCAAACATCATGCAGTGTACTCCCACAAACCTGCATGGTACAGCTATCCTAAGCGTCCGGTGAATTTGGTGTCTTGCAGAGCACATGATCGGCCATCATCTCACTCTGGCCCCTCCTACTCTCTTTCTCTCCATCTTTCTGGAACAAGACCCAAGTCCCCCTCTTGTTGCTGGCAGAAGGGATCATATCATTTTCTTTCCCTGTACTTTTGTCAGCTGTTTTTCTAGATACAATTTCTTAATTAAAAAATTCTCACAACAACTATTATAAAAGCGAATCTTTCTTCCTGCTAAAGTAACGGCAACTGCCCTTTCCTGGAGCACCCACCATGTCCTGGGCATTATGTAAGATGAGGCGTTTGAAGAAGACTTTGAAAAGGGCCAGGAGACTAGACCTCCAGAGAGAAAAAAATTTAGTCCTCTGAGATACAATTGATATCTGACAAAGGGCTCTATTGTTTTCTTGAAGGTCTGAGGATTACAGTTGTAAGAGAATGTGACTTTGCTGGAATCTATTTTCCTTTAAAGAATGTTTATCTTACTGTATAGTGTCATGTATCTTTTATATTTTGTTTTGTAACCATGAGTCATGATATTTTTATTGTAATGTCCAGGTCTTTAGTTGGGCTCCTTAGAAGCACAGCCTGAGACGGGTATCTGGTGCAGGGATCTCATTGTGAAGGGCTCTAAGGGTGTGGGCGTGTCTGTGGGGTTTGGTGTGGGGTTGGGGGCTGTGTCTGGATGGAAGGAGCTGAGCAAGGCTGTGGTCTCAACTGGAGACTAGCCTCAGGCTCTACCTTAAGCCCCTGAGTCAGTGGCCAGGACTGCCCCTAGGGCAGAGGTGTGGCATCATCTTTTCAGTAAGGAGGGCTTCTTTGATCCAAATCAATTCTGTGGAGAACAGAGTATCCGTGTGCTGTCAGCAACTGTTACAGGCTCCGCTGAGTCCCCCTGAAATCCACATGCTGTGGCCCTAACCCCCAGTACTTCAGAATGTGACTGTATTTGAAGGCATGGCTTTTAAAGAGGTGACATTAAAATGAGGCTGATTAGGTGGCTATAAGCCAATCTGACCGTGTCCTCATAAGAAGAGGAGATTAGGACACAGAGTCACCGGGGTATGCATGCACAGAGGATGGCCTTGTGAAGAAGCAGCAGGAGAGAGGCCAGGAGAAGGGCCCCAGAGGAATCCAGCCCTGCCGGCCCCTTAATCCCCAGCCTCCAGAACTCTGGGAAATAAATTTCTATTGTTTAAATCACCTAATCTGTGATAGCTTCTCACGGCAGCTCTAGCTGATTTAATACAGCAGCCAACACGTACAGCAGCTAGCAGACAAGTGTGTGCCAATTATACTTTGGAGTGTGTCTGATAAAGAAATTTGGGTAGGACATTGATAGTAGCCACTATACCTACTTACAAATGAGAATGATGTGACCCAGAGAAGTAAAGTAGCCTACCTGAGGTCACACAGCCAATAAGCAATGGAGGCAGAATTTGACAGCCATCTGACCCTACAGCTGGTCCTCCTACTCACAACTTTGTATCAACACTTACGGTGGAAGACAGTTTTTCTAAGAAGCAGCAGGTGTCACCAGTTAATTTAACTTCAATTTTTGTTTGTTTGCTTTTTCATCTCAATTATGTTTACCTTATAAAAAATGGAGCTTCTAGGGGAAATTGAGGCAGCTCAGCACAATGTCTCACTTTTGTGAGACACTGTGTCTGTATGTCTTCTCAAAGTATTGCCTTTTACCTTGTATAAAAGGTAATAAAAAAGAAAAAGGAAAAACCTTGTGGTTTTGGGGATGTTGTAGCATGTTAATCATAGGTTTCCTCTACATATGCGAAAATTATATATATATATATATATATATATATATATATATATATACACACATACACACACATATATATTTTTAATTTTACTTTAAGTTCTGTGGTATATATGCAGATCTTACAGGATTGTTACATAGGTATACACATGCCATGGTGGTTTGCTGCCTCCATCCCCCCGCACCTACATTAGGTATTTCTCCGAATGTTATCCCTCCCCAATCTCCCCACACCCTGCTATCCCTCCCCTAGTTTCCCATCCCCCAACAGACCCCAGTGTGTGATGTTCCCTTCCCTGTGTCCGTGTGTTCTCATTGTTCAACACCCACTTATGAGTTAGAACATGCAATGTTTGGTTTTCTGTTCTTGTGTCGGTTTGCTGAGAATGATGGTTTCCAGCTTCATCCATGTTCCTGCAAAGGACATGAACTCATCCTTTTTTAAGGGCTGCATAGTATTCCATGGTGTATATGTGCCACATTTTCTTTATCCAGTCTGTCATTGATGGGCATTTGGGTTGGTTCCAAGTCCTTACTATTGTAAACAGTGCTGCAGTGAACATACATGTGCATGTGTCTTTATAATGGAACAATTTATAATCCTTTGGGTATATACCCAGTAATGGGATTGCTGAGTCAAATGGAATTTCTATTTCTAGATCCTTGAGGAATCGCCACACTGTCTTCCACAATGGTTGAACTAATTTGCACTCCCACCAGCAGTGTAAAAGTGTTCCTATTTCTCCATGTCCTCTCCAGCATCTGTTGTCTCCAGATTTTTAAATTGTTTTCTGTTGTACTTTAGCTTCTGGGGTACATGTACAGATCATGAAAGATTGTTGTATAGGGAAGATGACCAAATAGGAACAGCTCCGGAACGCGGTTCCCAGCGAGAACAGCGCAGAGGGTGAGTGAATACCGCATTTCCAAACAAGTTTTCACTGCCCACAGACCAGGAGATTCCCGGGCCAAAAAGTGCCACAAGTTTTTAGCGTGGTGGTTTCAGCCAGTGCTGGATCAGTGCACAAAAACTCACACAAGTCTGGGCAGACTTTTCATCTGGCGCCTGGAACGCCTGGGAGACAGAGCTGCCCATTCAACTGAAAGGGAGGGGGCTGAGACAGGGAACCAGGCGATCTGGCTTGGTGGGTACTACCCCCACAAAACTAGCAATCCGAAACGCTCTGGATTGAGAGTTTCACAGCAAGCGCAGCTGGACCCAGGATGGTCCAGCTCAGTGGCGGGAAGGGCAACAACCACTACCAAGGCAGTCCACCACTACCGAGGCAGTTCATGCAGCAGCTGGTCAGAGCCTGTGGCAGCCCAGCAACACCTCTGCTGGCAGACTGTGACTAGACTACTTCATGCAGGGCAGGGTATCTATGAAAAAACGCAGCAGCACAATAGGTACTTATAAATAAAGCCAACCTTCGTAGGACAGAGCACCTGGGAAAAGAGGTGTTTATGAGTTCAGCTGCAGCCGGCTTAAAGGTACCTTCCCAGCAGCTCTGCATGGAACAACGGAGCTCCCAGCACAGCAGTTGAGCTCCTATAAGGGACAGACTGTCTCCTCAAGCAACTCCTCAACCCATGTATACCCTAAGAGATACCTCATAAAGGAGAGCTGAGGCTGACATCTGGCAGGTACCCTTCTGGGACAAGGATAGCAGAGGAAGAAACCAGTGGCAGCCCTTGCTGTTCTGCAGTCCCCACGGGTGATCCCCAGGCGAGTGAGGACTAGAGTGGACCTCCAGCGGTCCTGCAGCAGAGGGACGTGACTGTTAGAAGGAAAACTAAGGAACAGAAAGAAATAGCTTCAACATCAACAAACAGGACATCCACTCAGACACCCCATCCGAAAGTCACTAGCTACAAAGACCACAGGTAGATAAAGCCCCTATGGTGGGAAGAAACTAGCGCAAAAAGGATGAAAACACCAAAAACCA